CGATTATTTTCCACATAATTTACATGAACAGGTCAAATTAGTAGGACATTAATTAGCATAAAGTCATAAATAAAGTTTATTAATAATGCCATCATGTTATTAATGCCAATCTATTGGCCATATAATATAATGGAAGTATGTATTAACAAATATTACCCATTTGAAACTGATATGAATGAAATATTAGGAATATAATGGAAATGATACGCGTGAAGACCAATAAGCAAAATAAAGAAATATTCGATTATATGTTGATTTCAACTGTGTGTGAAACTAATGTATATTTAATGATGATAACTACTTAATGAAAATTGTGTATTAAAAAATTGATTAATATTTCAATGGATCAATGTGCAGTTAAATAAATAAATGGCAAATAAATATGAAACACATGCAAGAACCAATGTAATCTTGATCACCTGAATAAGTTTTCAATTTTAGAAAAGTAGTTTCCAACTCGAATAATTCTTAGCTGAAACTGACACAGTATCATTTGACGGATCGGCAATAATTAATTTCATCCCTATATTTATATTAATTAGTTTGATATTTCCCATGTTGCTTACGGACAGGCAATAAATCATTTTCCAGAAAATCCTTTGAGACCGCGTCCGAGCAACCACCAATAATTTATATTTCAGTTTTTCACACACTGAATGTATTTTGGCAAAGCCAGCCAAATAAATTTAAAGTTGTAGTTATTTATTCCAGTTTAATGATGTGCGGGTGATGTTTGAAATTTGCTGTTTAATTTCTAATGAACACTCAGATAAAAATTCATATCTAGTATAATTGATTACAAAACTTTACGTTATGTAATGTTTTGATAATTGTAGTGTTTAGTGTAATATGTGTAATAAGTGTTTAATAAAGTCAATTTCTTGAATATATGTTTTTCCGAAATCCGATTTAACATGTAATTGTAATTTATAGGGTTCTTAAAATGTTCTTGTGATGCTCTAATTTTGGTAACGTGTAATTATTTGAGTGCAATAATGTAGGTTATCTGTAAGCATTTATAATTACAGATATTGCATTGCAAGTATAATCTAAAAGCATTATCTTTGAAGAATTATCGAGGTTACGAACCTACGCCACTAGAACAAAATAAACTAAATATAAGCAGTTTTAACGGAATAAAGTAAAAAACTATAACAGATAAGTTTGAGCATAAAATTAATGTGTTTAACACACGTCTGTATTTGTATATACAGAATTCTAATTAATGTACTTTATTAAAGAAAATCGTTTTCTCCGATAGTAGGTAAAGTGGGAAGTAGTAATGCAAAGAGAAAACTTGGTAAAATTATGCTTGGTTATATCTAACCAGATCGCTGGCGTAAATTTTCTGGCAACCTGTTTTAACCACAAATCATTACTTCAGCGCTCGCCTTTTCCATATTTATCAATACACATCGACTACATTTCATAGAGTTGCATCACTCGCTTTGTCAATACATTCTTCTTAATAATGTAAGACATTTATTCACACTGCTTATGGTAATTAAAATAAATTGAACATTTCGCTAAATCTTGAATTGCACTTACCTTAAGAAATAATGCAGCTCAGCAAGAGGTCTTACTTCCCACGTAACTGCAATCGAAAAATTACATCTGTTAATTATTACAATAATTTTACATCTTAGGTATGTGTGTTGATTAAATAGTCGTTTCCGTAAAGGATGTAGAGCTATTAATACGATTTATTAGAGATGCTTCACTTTTTTCACACGTTTTGAACTGATTTCAAATTTAACATTTTATTAAAATAAATGGTTAGATTTATCAAACAACTTTTAATTTCGATGCGACGAAATGCGAATTATAAATTTGGCAATATTATGCTTTCCAGATCGTCGAATCCAGAAGGCGATTCAACCATTTTTGAATCTTGGGTGTGGTCGGATTAATTAATAACTCCAAGCCTAACTCGAACCTTTTTATAATGGAGTAGGGCAATCCGTTGATAGCAATTCGCATTCCAGGCGTTCCCACTTTTTAAAATCGATCAATCCCCGCTATAAAAAAGAAAGACGAACAAATCACAACGTAACTTGGCTTTATGTAATTGATCTGTAATGGGAAATTTTGATTTTACTGTACAAATCAACGATATTCATTCTATCAATAAACAGTCTGTTAATTTATAAACCGCCTTGGACGTAATCAACAGATATTGTTGGCGATCAAGACAATGAGCACAATGAGTTGGATCCAAAGATGATGAAATATTGGTAATTTAATTTCACTAGCCACGATTATGAATAATGGGGTCAAATTTCTAGAAGAATTAATGAGCCACCATCAGGGAACGAAACATGACGCTGATGTTTGCCACCAAGTTATAACAAACTGCAGAATCCTACACAAGATAGAATGCTTCAGGAGCAGACCTCGATAATGAAAATATGAAACGATTAATTGCCGAACTGAACCCAATGAAAATTTGTCTCTGTAATAATAACAAATATCGATATTGGAAGTCTAATATAATAAAAAGAAAAGCAATAGTACAAATCTCTAGAATAACTCTTAAATAGGATGGAGTAATGGCGAAAACAATTTTTCAATTGCCTGAAACAAATATTTCTTATATGTTTAAAACGCAAAACTATCTAAATGACGTTTGTAAAAAAATCACCATTTTTCTTGATTGAAAAATTATAATCAAATATGTACGATAAATGTAACCGAAAAATCGCAACGCCAAGAATTTTTGGGCTTACAAAGCCTTACAAAACATTTATTTCCTTAGTTTTTTTAAACTAAGCTTTATCTAAGCTAAGGACGTCATTTTTTTAAACTTTCCGCAAGAACATCGAACAAGAAGTGACAGACTGCTCCTTTTCAGTTTAATTATACTAATGCAATTTTCAGTCAAGTTTTATATGGTTCATTCATATGGTTAATCTAAGTTTTGCTGAAAACCCATGCTTGCTCAAAGCTGTACGCACAGAAACGTGCTCTTGAAAAAATCGCAAAATTTGCTTACTATTTAAACCTTCTGTGCAAAAATATGGAGCATTTGGGGTAACAATAACATTAATAGCTCACTAAACGTTAATGCCGAAGTTTCCTTGGATTTTCAAACAGTTTGAAAAAATGCCCAAGGTTGATCATGGTTTTCGTTGAGTCTATCGACACCAACAAAATGACTTTGGTCGTACTTGAGTATTTCACACATTTCATTCTGATAAATGCGAGTCTTCAATGACCAGTTGTTTAAATTGTATTGATTGCGAATTTTTCAGACCGCCCTGTTTCATATTTGCTCATAATTTTTTTGTTTCCAAACTGGTTTAGAATAATGAACTCCTTCAAAAAATTCCGAAATTCAGGAATCTTGCTGGATGGATAACTTTAGGTCATGTCATTACCATAACTCTCGAAAAATTAGAAAATGAGCCAAGTTGGATATTAAACGATTACTTCGCTCAATTCTATTTAAGAATCCCTTTTATATTTTTCCATAGATTTTTCATTTTATTAAAATAAAATTGAGACGTTGAGTTTCGCTTGTTCACTATTCGTTAAAATCCTAAGATATGTTGAAAATAGCAAATACAATTACTGTTTATCTCAAAACTTTGGCTGCGATGCTTGCGATAAACAGTTTTAATTCAAGTGTAGACACAAGAGCACAGACTAGAGACACTTTTGAAAAGTTTAAAAAATACAGTCAGAAAAAACACAATTTTTGGTAACCACATAATTTAAAATTGCAACATTTTTTTCTTTAATAGAGATACACAGGTTCTTTGTGACAATGTTCAATAACTCCCTACCTGAAAGTATGCAAACTGCAACGACTCTGTTAATATCTGTGTTAAATCAAATAAAACAACTCGATCAATCTAGTGAAGTCCGATGGAGAAAAAATGATAATGGCTAATGACTAATGAAAAGGAAAAACCACAGCAAAAGCCCCACATTAAACCTCTCCAAGGAAAAAATTCCAGATATCCCACTAGGAGTACACATAGATCAGGTTATGGATAACAGATCAGATAGAAGCTCAATCATACCTTTGGTCACAGCTAACAGTCATCATCTCACACCGGACAAACCGCTACAACTACAACTGGCCGATGGTCAGACCATCGAGTTACTGGGAAACAACCGACAGGACAGCTTAGACCAGAGCCTATTGGGACGTGGACACCATTGATTGCTCCTTGAAGGTTGTCATAGCGATTGACTTCCGATACAAACAAAATTCCCTCCAAGATGATGGGGTATAAGCTTCCATAGCACCCTTTCCAGTTGGGTTGAAACAGCACCGGCTTTGATAAAATTGTCCGAACCTACTTCCATTCAACCCTTTATTCGCCTAAAGTTGCCAAAAGTGGGTTTTAAGAAAAATGACTACCCTCTTGACTTAAAATGTATGAAGAGCATTGCCAGGACACCCACGGAATTTTAACAGGGAATTCTTCAACAAACACTAAGTAAAACAAGTGTTGAAGATACTGCTAAAAGTCGCAAACCCATTATTGCAATTGACAAACACTTCAAACAATCGAATAATATTTGAACATTTTCGAATGAAGAAACGTTCAACAATTAAACCAAAAAATTTCATAGGATCTTTCTGCCAATTTTTTAATTGAAATAGATTTTAGACTCTAGAAAGAACGCATATGAACTAAGTGATTTCGAAAATAACGAGCACTGTTAGAAATGTTCGATATCTCCGGATTGTGGAAGGATTGCTAAATCTAAACCGCTAAATCAGACGAAGTTCCATCTAGAAATATCTAAAATGGAACGACACTAGAGAAGGTCGTACTTAAAAATTTATTATGTTGAATAATAAATTCTTTCAGCTGTGATGCAGGTTTTTTTTCGCTAGTGCTTTACTCCTCTCGGTTGAAGGCTTATAAAATTGGAAATCGACTACGGCCTGCAAAGCGACCAGATTCGTTTTCATGCAAGGCGATTGAAAATTGGCGTCACATGCGTATTTCTCAAATAAATTTGGATCTGAAAACGCATTTTCAACTGTGCCAATAAGCAATTTGACGTATTTGCAACGCTCTTTTGGCAAACTATTAATATAGCCAAACATTGCGAAACTTGCTTATAGTTTGGTAAAATTCTACCTGATAAACATACGATTCTATAATTGTTTTCAACAAAAAAATAGCAAATGTTAAAGTACCATACCAAACACCAATGTCTCCTTAGCATCACTGACGGACATAAATTGAAGAATAATACAGAATCTAAAGGGCCAAAACGTCGACCTAAACAGATTGATGAAATAAATGATCATAAACTCTTCAAAGCAGCACTAATACTAAAATCTATTCCAAAACGACCATGAAATAAGATGATCTTTCAACTTCAAATCGACGAGCTGAAAACTTCGGGATCAACAACTCGGCAGTTTTAGTTTCACGAGTTGGCACATTGTTCAAAAGAAGCTGTGACGGAGATCTACTATTTAGACCATGAGTATGTATAAGAAAAACTTAACTTTAAAACGCGGTTAAGCTGATAGCAATAGACTGGCCAAAGTTTAAGTGCAGTTGTGCAGTGTTTTATGTCGATTCGAATTATAGGTCGAATCTCAACGAATTTATCACGTCCATTTAGCACTTGTTTCCAACGAATACGTCACTGGGTTCAAACTGGCCATGGCCTGACACGAAGATGGGCGGACAGGAAAAACCCGATTTGTGGACAACAATGCCCAACTGTTGAGTTGCAAAGCGCTAATCGACACTTTTAGATTCTAATCATAGGTATGTAGGTCATTTATATTCCATCAGCGTTTTATTCCAAACCAGGAAATATAATTTATCCCGAGATCAAACATTTATCAAGTTCAGGATGTGTTTAATCACTTATCTATCGATCGTTGTTAAAAAACAGAACAGTTTTGTCGGTTCTTGGAAACCAGCAACGAATTAATAGCCAAAAATTTGCTCAGCAAATGGAAACCGTTTACAAATACAAACATGATTGCAATAGCGGACCTAAAATATTGAATTAAAGGATTTTATTGAAATGCATTAGAACTAAACGATTAATCAAAGAAGCAAAAAACAGCCATGCTAGTTTGATGGGTTATTCTTTTGGACACAATTCGTTTTAAGCAATATTCACCTTTTATCAACCAAAAGCCTGTTAAAGAGACCTTCAGCTATTTAAGGCCTATTGGGTTTCAGTAGAATGATCAATAAATTTGGAAAACTCATTTTAGGAATATGAGTTTTAAACACTCAGTATAATCACTGCTTTCAGTAATTTAAAAGCTATTCAAAATTTTTCTTCCAACAAAATATTAAACCCATCAATGAAACTTTTTTGAATTAAGATGTAGGAGCTCAACCTGAAAACCGATCAATTCGTGAACATTGGCGAACATATTTAATACTAAGCAAAATAATGATAGAATATATGCAAACTGTTAAATCAAAAAGTTTCGAACGATAGGTTAAAGATTGGAATGACAACTAAACCAAGGAGAAAAATAATTCTGGTGTTCATCTACAAATACTCAGTCAGTTTCAATGTTCACCATTAAATGTTTTCAAACTAGATTTTAATCAATCAACTACTAATTCCACGCTGCAGTCAATGAAGTTAAACATCTAACTAGAAGAGTCAAAAAGAAAAACTTTCGAAAACATTATAGTTGTTTGCAACGATTATTATTTGTTGCAAGCTTAATTCGTTTTTTTCCTAAGGCGAAATGTTGCTGATAAATGTGCTATTGTGGGTCATGCAAAAGGTTGTTATCATCAGACTCATTGTTCATTATGAGACATAACAAAGAAATTATTAATTACGCTAACAAGTATCATTTATCATTTTGGTACTAATTATTTGATTCTACAAACTGTATTCTACTCTAGAATATAAGAAGAATTTAACAATTCTTGCTAATAAAATATGCTTGCTTGAAAATAAGCAGTTTTATAGAGATATAATTAATATTAGCGGATAATCTCATCTCACTTTCAACATAATTTAAAAATAGTTACTAGATCATGAGAACTACAGTATACAAAAAAACAAAACGCATAGTAAATTCGAAAATTGATTCTAAATGGGGCTCTAAAGATTTGGACAGTACATAAGAGAATTAAGAATGATCAAGTGATAATATTTATAAAACGTACGAAAAGCATAAAAACTGCAAAAAGTACATTAATATACTTAAGCCTGAGACAAATAATCTATTAATAATAAACCTATAAAAAACGGTAAGCTGATATTTTTACTTCACGATCTTAATTTTTAGACAAACTTGTAAAAAGTAATTACTAGTGTGTCATGAATTAACAACATTAACAATTATTATAAACTAAGGGACAGAACTGAGCTACTTTCTAACAAGCTACTTTTCAAAACGTTAGTCGATAAAGCTCGTTTCCGTGACACAAAAAACACATCCATACTGCAGGCATTCGTGGTCGAGTTATATTTGAAATTATTAAATTTTATGTCATGACAATAAGTTTGCTCAGCAATCAAAATGATCGTTCTCTTTTTTGCTTTAGATTTCATTTAAAATTGAAAGGTGTATGTCACGAGTTGAAATTTAGCTTATTTATTTATTTTACTAATTAAGTAAAAATGTTTGTACTAAATATACGAACTAAAACTTATCTAAATAAAACATTTAAAGTCGAAAACGTACGGCCTTTGAAAACAAATAACGGAAAATATATCTAATTTAAATTGTTTGCGTTCCGAGCGACGCCAAGTTCTGGACACTGGAATTTGTGTCCGACAGACGATAATTTTCCGTTTTTCAGTAACTACTGTCAATTATTCTCAATATTAGAAAATAGCACATGCACAGACGTACGATCTGATGCGTTATTGGAAAATGTTTAAATCATCTTCAAATACATAAGGCTTATATGCGCTATGTCCGAATATTTCAACATGAGTGAGAGAATAAATGTGTTCAATACTTTAATTGAATTGACATTATTCAATAATAAAATCCAATATTCCTATGAACTTGTACCAACAACTATTCCTGAATCTGTATCTGGTGGATTTGCAAAAACAACTTCCAAATTTATTTTCGATAGAACTGCCCATGCAAGTATTTTTTTATGCAAGTTGGACGACATTGATGCTTTTTCTAGGTATCACTCATGTTGTTTTTGATATTTATTAATTAAATTATATTACAGAGGCATTGTATCTCAATTTTCTACGATTTCAAATCTGATTTATTAACATAATTTTACGCAGCTCATGATTTTTTGGATGTAAGAGAACCCAAATTGAGCAAATTGAAGCATTTCCATACCTACTGAATCTGGTTAACATATTTTTCACACTCACGTAGTTTAATACTAATACTATTAATTCTGGCAACAAATTGTTATTAGGGAGAATCCGTAATTTCAAATATTCACGTTGACGTGTCCTCGTTTAACTCTCTTCGAATTAGTGGCTTTTATACTCTATGTATTAGCAACCTTCGTGATCCATTCCACAAAGAAAATTATAAATATTTTATGCTGCATGAGGTGAACCATCTGCCTGATCCCACAGTCATTAAAAGGTAAGATGAACAAAACGGGTAATTAGAAAATTCAGTTATTGTAGGGTATTATTTTTATTAAAGGGAATATACCCCCTGCGTGTTTCTCTGCTCTTTTAAAATATTCAACTATTTCAAAAGCCAAGAATAGAGGAGATCGATACAAGTTCTGGAAATAAACGGTGTCTGTTCCGAACTGAATCAATTGACAAAAAAATGTTTGGTATTGAGCAATTTTTAATATATTCATTAAAGCAGAATATTTTGCGACATATAAAGCTTTGTTTATGCCCCGTACAAACGATTTCAATATTTTTGTTGTTACTTCATGTATGCATATTGTATTGTATTTTTTCGTTGATCCAAACGAGTAATAGGAGCTTCACTTATCCTGTTGTGGAACAAATGAGACGATAGATAGATTAACATGCAATAAAAACAGGAGCACTTATGATACGGTAAGGTTTGTTCATTTAGGTTTACGAGTAAAGCTCTCATAATTTCGGTACGCACATTATTAATACTACCGAAGAACAACTTTTCTATGTCATTGTTTACCCCCAGTTATATGGTTAATATCATTAGTGTACATTCCTAACGTTACCATAATTTACATTGTTGTTAACATAGAAGCAGTGAGAATCAGCCTGAAAATATTATCTTAGCCGAACCGAAAAGCATCAAGGTAGCCAATATGAGTGAACATTAAATATATTTGTGTGAACTGATAATGGTTATGCATAATTAACTTTAAATGAGATTGAGAGTGAAATGCGGATGTATTTGTCTAAAACGGTTGGGTAAAAGCCAACAAATAGCAGATGTTCAGCCACTAACCAGCATCATTTTTGACACGCAAAATAAAGTAAAATATAATTCTTATGAGAAAATGTAGGTACAATCCATGAACTAATTTGCTTCAGTGCCAACACAACAAATAAAGAGTGAATCGAGAAGAACGGATCTCACTTCAAGGGCGTATTCGGCATGTGAAATAAAACAAGTGAAAATTTTTTCAATGTTATTTGACTTTCGTTTGAATTCTTGCAATAACATCGCAATAAATAATTGATTAACGTTGAACTCAAAGCACTTTTGTGGGTTAAACATTGCGTCTGAATACAATGGAGAAAAAATCAGCAAGGCAATTCAAGCTTTCAGCATTAATAAAGGAATTGAAATTGTCATAATTTGTAACATTTTTTAAAAATGTAATTCATGTTTATTCTACTCTAAAATTAAATATTGTCTGAATTATTCATATGTTTTATCAAACATATGTTTAAAAATATTCGAAAAACCCAAAAGAAAACTAATAACAGAACATTACAATGACCCAAGAAGTTAGTTCTTTTATTACGTTTGTATTGCCCATTAATGGATAAAAAACTAATGTTAAATGAATAAATACGCATTATTGGGAATTGCTCATTTAGGTTAAGTATTTAGCCATTAGGCCACGAATATTAAACAAGTTAATTTGTTATTTGCTCAGCTGTATTCCATCAGTAAACTAAGCAAAAACTATATTAACTACATGTCCAGGCGTATACTAAACTTACATGTGAAATCAGTTTTCCCATTAATCATGCGTTATTCGTTCATAGCACAAAAATGTATGTATTTTGCGAAATTGTTTAACGAATAGATGTGGAATTTAGCATGCAAATGAAAAATTTGAACAATGTTTGAACTAAAATATTTAACTTTAGAACAATTCCAGAATAGCAAAGATAATAAAGTTTATGGACAACTTGAAACAGACAGAGCGGTTCATTGTGTTGGTAGAAATACTACTACATTAACAAAAAGTTAGCTCTTAAATTGAAGAAAAATAATGCTGAAACATCCTGAATGTCCCTAAACGACTTGAGAAACCAGAAATATGATCATTCAACAATAGGATTGGTCATGACTACTTTAAATATTACTTTTTATTGCCACATTGCGTAAAGTTAAGTACACTTAACATGGAGCTGTAAATTTCCTCGTGTAGAACTGGAGACTATTATTCCATGTACACTTATTTGAAGTGGAAGTTAGGACGAAAATGTTGGGATGGGAAATAGGCGTATATTTGCTTTAAGAACGTCAAGCTAAAAGATGTAACGGAATATTGTATGAATTATCAGGAGGAGAACATATTCACGAACAACAAATAAACAACGATATACATCCGAAGGCGAGACACAATAGTTAGGCTTTTTATCTGATAGTAATATTAAAAAGAGATGCTAGACTAGAATACTAAAACAAACACCCACACAGCAGATGGGAGCTGGTGATTTAAGCAAAGAGTCGGAAGACGATCGAGATCTGTATGGATTTTCCGGCTCCGTTATGGAGTAAATCAAAAGAAAATGTAACTGAATTTTGAAACAAATTGTCGTAGAATAATGCAACGCATGAAATGATTCCATGTGATAACCAAGAAATTATCAATGGTATAATGACGAATGCGATGGAAATTATTGATAATTTTGCCCGAATGCATTTTAAGTTAAAAAAGAGCATGTGGGTGCACCAAATACATACAGCAATGGAAACAATTGTATGTCTGGTAGGTTGGAATCAATCCAGTGAGCCCAAAAAAACAGGCTTGTGAAATTTACATTTGTGAATTAAAGTCTTTCAGAATGTCTTAAATTCAACATCTTTTTCGGCAGAAGAAGGCGAGGAATATAACCATCTTATTAACGAAGACGCTGGAATCTCAAGTTTGGAAATAATCGATATTTTCTGTTAATTTTCAAAGGTCGCAATCTTTAACACATTATATCTTCCTTATTATAGGCACAAACATTTCTTGCATGTATGTGCATAAATGACTGTGAAATTTACGTTTTTGATCGAAATTTTGATAATGGAGGGAGGAGTAAAGTAAAGTGGTCGATTTTTGCATAAAATTCAATTCGCTCAAAATGCTTCGAATTCTAATTCATTTTCATCAGACGAGGGCGAGAAATATAACCAACTGATTTGAAATCCGACAAAAACTGTGAACACGGTTTGCGCAACTCGCACTACAGCCTACTTAAATGATAAAACTATGTAATATAAAGCAGTTGCTATGTGTCCACAAAATACACATGGATTTTCGATGCAAAATATGTATGGACAAACCCCCATATTTAGATAAAAATAACCTTGGAACAATAAAGAATCACTTAATATATAGTTTCAGATTAGTCGATGTAAAATTGTGTCCAGCCAAATATCCATAATGGCTGTTCGGCTGTGTCCAGACCTCAATCATATCAAATCGACATGGACGACCTCCATAGCGCTGACGATGATATCGCGTGTCCAGCGTCGCCGTTTCCTAGCAACTTGTCTATTACAACGACGTCGCTGGCGGTCAACGTGTAAATTCTTAATGACGTACACCCTTCTATCATTTATTTACCAATGCCGATCATTATTGGTTCTTTACAGGGCTAAAAATCTTGATACGTTACTAGAAATATTGGCCTATTAGGTCAAATCTTTCGCAAGTTGAGTGAGATTTCGCCAAAGTTCTAACCGGCAAATTCACCTAATAATTCTAGAAAATTAATTTAGCAAATTACAAGCACTTGCATTGGTGCAACGTTCAGTAAAGTGCAATCTTGCCAAACATTCGGGACCTTCAAACAGAAAGCATTCAGCAAGTATAGGAATAGTAGCTACAAGCTACCTCCTCATGGTCCATCACCTTGTCGAAGACGCTTGAGAGCATGAGGGTGAGGACGCTTGAGAGCTAAAACGACGGCAGCTTAGCTGCTGCTAGGGTCACCCTTGTCGATCAGGTCAAAGGCGAGGGGTCAGACGAAGCATGTACCCCGGTCCTTCAGGATGGCCTTCATGAAGCTGAAGCTATGGGTTAGCTACCCATGAAGAAACCCTACTTGCAAAACACTCTAGACAAGTCTCGGAACAGGAACGGATCAGCGAAATACAAAAGATTGACATGACCGTAATAGCCTTATCTGAGACCAACAAGAAACGATCAAGGATCGAAGAAATGGGCAACTATATCCATTTCTTCAGTGGAGTGCGGAAAGAACATAAAGCCAAACGAGGAATATCAATATTGATCAAGAAAAATATAAAAGTGGCATAACAAGTTTGGAAGCAAAAGACGAACGAATAATATCAGCATCTTCGGAAAGCGAGTAACTATTATTGGTATATACACACCAAACGATGATGAAATTGACCAAATGAAAGATAACTACTACCCAAAATTACAACAACTTCTAGACGAAATAGGAGATAGTAGAAAAGTAATAATGATTAGCGATTTTAATGGAAGAACTGGACGCAAAATGAACGATGCCAGCGTAGGACGTGATTGGGAAGAACAAAGTTACGAAAATAGAGAACAACTGATCGAACTTTGCCTAAGACCACCAACCCAAGAAAACAAAACATAGATGGCTACAATAGAATCACGATTGTATAACATCGAGGGACTTGAAGAAGATAGCATAAGAGAGCTGTATCGGCCAAGACTAGACAAACTCTTGGATAGTAAATATAAAAGTACAAACTACCTTTACCAACATTTAAAAGAAGCAATAAACCAAGCGACAACTGCGACAAAGTTTTGGGAACCAAGGAACAAACGCGACTCCGAAAGAAATAGTGGTGGGATAAAAGTCTAGAATAGGAAGTAAATCAAAAGAAAATGAATAACCGCAAAGGACAATGAAGACAGAATAAGGTACGTGGAAGCGAGGAATAGAGTAAGAAAACTAATCAGACCACAAAAGGAAAAAAGCTGGGATCAAAAGTGTGGTGAAGTTTATATGTATATTGGTGATAGGAGGTGTCACGAAGCCTGGGGATTCATAGAAAAGGTCAGATCTGAGAAGAGCATCAAATTCAACTTATGTCTGCTGATAAATGAGAGAAATACTACAAAAAACTACTAACCGAAGATAGACCGGAATATGTAGGTGAAGATACACAAGCAATAGCCGTTGAAGGAGAACGTGTAGAAAGTTCTTTAGAAGAGTATTTTGAAGGGGATTTGAGAAGAATTTGAGTCACTCTGTGAACAGCGTTTTACCTAAAATGTTCAGAGGCGAGCCTAAACCACTGGTATAAATATGTATTTTTATTCCAATCGATTCGATGACATTAACGTTCGTGCAATTAAATTAAGACATGTACCATGTATTTTTGCAAAAGATACTACGATAGTCATTTTTGAGCTTTTAAAATACTGCAAATTCCTAAAATACTCGAAAACGTATTTAACCAGACATCTAATTTTATTTGATGCCAAGATAAATTTGGATGATTGCAGTTAGATGATCGTCATAAAACTTAGTTATTTTTCAATTATATACATATAACAATTTTGACGAGCCAATATTACAATTTTGCCGACGTCGCATCTGTAAAAATCGCGATGAGGATAAAAACAAACTTTTTTGTCAATAGTCACACTATAAGCCGTATGAAATGTTTTAAATTGTGTTGGGTGTTTATTCAGCTCAATTTTTTCACATAGCTAACGACTAGTGTATGCATATTTTGCATGTAGCCAAATGACTACTACGTACTATAAAATATATACTTTAACCATTTGAGGTGTTTGTGACCGCCAGTCTCGGCCGAACTAACGGCTCACGTCATCGTAGGTCGGCAATTGATGTACTAAACTAAAAGGACGGTGGTTATTGGATTTTTTATTTCGCTTCCGACGTAAAATGCTCGTGTTTTAATATTACTCCAATATCGCTTAAGGTTTACACGCAATTTCATACTTAAGTAGTTGGATTAAACGAATTAACTTTCCTATTCCATCCCGTCAAGTTTTATTTCTCCCAATATCAACATTATTAATTTTTAATGCTGCGAATATGGGTCACATCTGTTTGTTTTAAGATATTTCGAGGGTCTTGCCTTTCGAGTTTAATTTCAAATTCTTGTATGATGGCAATATTCCGAATTTTGTAGAGCAACACTGAAGATCTGAAGCCCGATTTTCTTTTTTTCGTGTAACGTTAATAAACTCTAGTCTGTTCTAAGCTTTTTGCCAGTGACGCAATAATAAAAGTTGTTTGCCTATTACTTGTCCACCAAGCGAAACGGAAATTCGAGGTCTTTAACTTGCGTCTTTCATCAAATTGTTACAATTAACGGAAGATGAACATATATTAAAATTATTGATTTGCTTCGGTGCGAGTGTTTCTATGATTTTTTCCAAGTTATCATTTCAATTAACCAATACATTTCCTTATTGCGTGTGTCCTTTTCGGTTACCGAGAAAGCCTAAGTAAAATTGTGAGGCCGAACAATGGTTCATTTTGCTGGTATTTTCAACGCCATCGCTTAGATCTTGTACGAGTTTCTAATTTTTTTGCTAATTATTTGACTGCAGGTTTTGCACTACGAAAAAAACAACTCAATTTAACGCCACGGACCGTACAATTAAGGCAAATTAGTAACAAAACTCAAGAAAGTAATTTATTTTCACAATTTATTGTTTACATTCTGCAAATGTAATCTTCCTTTTGCAACTTCAAATAATTTATATACCATGTTGTCGACTGCTCTCGAAAAAAATAAATTTGGGTTTTATGGAAAAAAATTCAATTTCTACACACATCAAGTAATACTAATGAAAAACGTATAATTTATTAAATGTCTGCATTTACACCGTGCAAGTTTTCAATTTCCGGATTCATTTGTTTATTTGTACCTGAGGTGATAAACTCAAATACATTATATACTCCCACGTAAATGTAAAGTTTATGTTTTCGACATTTACTCCCGCTGCATATAAGCAAAGGATGATAATTAAACAAAGTATCTTTATTAGAAATACAATTAATTAAGCAATAACAAGGGACAAACTTGATCAATCAAACTACCAAAACAGTAGGTACTTATAAAGTATTATTCAAATATTTCGACTTCGAATATTTCTTTCATCTCTTCAAAGTTAAATAATTTGTACGAGGTTCTATATTTTATTTCAAAAAGCATCTCCATCTGAACAGCTAAAGTCCTTCGTTATGCAAGATGCATAGTGCCGATCGCAGTTTTATTCAAGAAGAGATATTTTGAAGTCAAATTTCTTCTGCCACTTAAAACATGCGCGAACAAGTAGTAACTTGACTCCTTAAAAATTGGTTAAAAAAGTCCAAATTCTGGAATATTATTAGGTTTTTCACTCGCTCGAATGGACGCACAAGCTTATCAAATCACTTTTAGTGTCTTGCAGTTTACGAACTGTAAATTGGTTTTAAACGGATTAGATTTTTCCAGTTAAACATTTTTTATTAGTTTTCTAGAGTTAGGTTTCTAGAGAAAATTATGTGGATAAAACAATGTGAACTTGCTACTTACATGAAACATGTTAGTAAAGGCGTTTCCAATTTTGTTCTTACAATTTACCGGCGTTTATATGCTATTTTACTGCTACAACATGCGTTTTCCAAAAAGATTATTGCAATTGTCGCCTCTTAACCAAGTGATACGATGCTAATCGAGTGGGCATTCAAAATGTCTTAAGAACCGTGCATTACATTTTTGTTCAAAAAACGATACTTCGAAAATATTCGAATCAGCTGTCCGTTATGATTCAACTAACAAAACACGCCCCTATGGTAAGCAACATTCGTAAAATCACGAAAGTATGAATTCGAATGAGGTAAAAGGGAGAACGTAATAAATAACAATAATTAGTGGTTTAATTTGTAACAATCAAGATCTTTATGTGGTGAATCGGTTTATGTGTCGAAATGCTTGATCGCTCATCTGAGCAAGAATTAAGTACTTACTTGCAATAATTTAAATGTAAGAGTGATAGTAAAATGGCAACTTTCGCAACAATAAACAAAGCGCAAAGATGACAAGCAGTGGATTGTTTGTAACTCAAAGTTCCAGGTAGACTAAAATACAGACATATTTTATATCCGCCCTTCAATGCTTCATGTTACCTATCCAATGTGCATTTGATGGAAATTATATAAATTCATTATTCTACCACTAAACATAAAATGGATCGGTTTTTTTTCTATTATTGACACACTTTCCACCATTTTTTCCAATTCATATTATATCTTACATGTGCATATTTTAAAACACAACAACTGTGAACTGCTCCAGGAAGATAGTGGAAGCCAATAGAATTTTCGCAAAAAGTGTCACCAATAAAAGTTATTCTTTAACGGGATTTCGTTTTTATAGAAGATTTAAGTTTAATAAATAGGGTTGACTAACAAGGTTATTACCCTCCTTTTAGGTGCAGGTAAGTATATCTGCATAAAATAAATCCGGTGAAACTAAATCGGGTGACCTCGGAGGGCAGTTTCAGGACTATATAAAGTTCACCTAAAAACACCTCTTTCCATGTTCTTGGCATAAATACGGATCAATTAAATTATTTTTCATAATTCGGGCCCCCACTTGTGCAAATTTTGGATCAATCTTCCAGAGGGACTCAAGGACCAAACTTTATCAAACACATTTTGGTTACTTCGTTAAAAATAAAATAGTTTAGCAGTAATAACAGTTTGTACCTACAGCAATACTATAACCTAAATAATCCTGTATATCCTCAAACATCGGTAGATATACGGTATGTTCGATTAATACCTATTGCAAGCAAGTAATCAAGCTTAGTGCAGTACATCCGATATAAAATAAAGAAATTGGATGAAAAATACCACTTAGTGCTCATCCACAAATGTATTGATTCAAACAACCACCAGTTAATGTCCATCAAATTGATGAGTTTCCCTGTGGAATAATTGATAGATTTCCTCTAGTCGTAATTTGTCGTAAAAGTTAGTTGCTAGGCAACGAGCTATTGGCCACTAAATAAAAAATTATAATACATGCACGCCGCGACTAAAAGCGTGATGTTTTTCTGTAATCCATTGCGTGGTTTCAGAATGGCATGTTAGAGGTTAGAATTCTTTAATTCGCTTCAATGCAAAATTGAACGTGAATATTCGATCCCAACGCAATATTTACTATTCAGAACAATCATTTTATCCTATTTAAGGCGTTTATAGCTGAAAATCATCGAAATTTTTTAGGAAAATTGGCGCTGTTCAATGAGAAAGCATTACATTTCAATAATTTAACATAATGTCTATTGAAAAACTTACCTCAACCGCTTCAAGCCTTTCGAATAATCGCACAAAATGACAGAAGTAACAAAAAATAATGGCGTCATAAAATTATAGAACCCCGGTTTAGTTGTTGATAAAAGATGCCAAAATCATTTTGGAACTATCTCGCACGCATGAGCTTCTGCATCCTCACACTTAGGCATCTCCTGACATCTCTTGAGTTTTAATGGAAACCCGTCAATGATTCATGTAGTCCACGCCACCTAACCTATTAGCGAGTTCAACAGTCCAAGCGCCCACTGGGGGCTGAATTATAACTACACCTTAGCTAGTTAAATTTTACTCTTACTTTTAATTGTTTCGTTTGGATCTACTCAGCTTTTAAACAATAGAAATATATTGAGTATGTTAGTATTGTTTTATATGTATTATTGTCAACAAATCTCATAAAACCCAATTACCAAACTTTTTCTTTCTTCCGGCCTTTTTAAATTCTAAATTCCGGCTTTTCTAAATCTATTAGGAGAGTCATGAATAGGGGTGCGACCTTTTCATTGGCCCACCCTGTATGTATAAAGCCAGTGGCATCTGTCAAATGTATGAATAAATCAACTAAAAGTTGAAATAACAGATTTATTCTCATTTGAAATTGAATTGACTAATAAAATAATATGACTGAAGACAATAAATTGTGTTTGCCGTTAGATAAAGACTATGTGAACTCGTTAGATTTGCCAACATTAATAAAAATGTTGCCAATGTACGAATCGAAGCATAAAGAAGGTAAAATATGTCATTCAATCAAACAAGTTTATGTAAAAAAGTGTGTATGCATGTATAAAAAGGCCTTTTTATACATGCATACACCATGAATTTCAACCAGTGTGTACACACCAACTTCTTCGTGTTAAAATATGTCAAAATGTTTGCTAAAAGTATTTAACTGTGTTTAGAATTCTTCTGAATTGTTTGTGAAATAATGTAACTGATGTAAAGCTTTTAATTTTTTTTCTTTGCGCGGGATTTCAACACACGAAAATTCACTTTATAGTGAAATAGTTTAAATATTCTTTGTTTGGCAATTTTCGGGGACGCATAAAAATGAGACTAAAACCATTAGCGTTTCTATTTAATTTCTTCTTTTATGAATTTATTTTTATATCAATGATATGCACGTAATTCGTGCAGTTACGCATCGCCTAGAACAGGTTCTAACAGAACGAACTGATTTGGACCAAGAGCTGGCCCAAAGCGAACTTGTAAAACACAATTTGGAAAAACAGTTTTGCTCTAAACAGCAAGCCTACCAGGTAATATAGGTTTATGCATAAACGAATTGATATTTGCGTTTGAATAATTATTTTTCCCACCCCCAATCATCAATACACATTTTTGGACCAGATTCTGCCAAGAAATTAATTCTTAATAAATTATGTTATTTGTAGGTAGTCGCTTTAAGAGAAAAGAACGTACAAACTGAATTATCAAGAATGAGCTTGATGTGTCCAATATACGAATTTCAAATGAAACATTCTTTACAAAATGAAACTATTCTATTGTCAGATACGAACAAGTCAGCTGCACGTAAGTTTTTTTTAATCCAACTTCCAGATGAGAAGATAAATTTATTACTGAATCCTAGCTGAGCCTACCATGACTCAATGGCTGGCAACTGAAAAGAAACTAAATAACCAGCGAGAGCTGTTGGTAGCATCAATGGAAGAAAAGCAGAAAGATATCGACAATTTTGTTACTAAACATTTAAAATGAGAAATAATTACGCAACTGTACAAGAGTGCAAAATTTAATTATCAATAGAAAATAAATAGTTAAATTACATATTCATACAGCTACATATCCTGTTATCAAGAAAATACTTAGCAATTATTTATTCAGTGTTACATAGAAAATACTATTTATTTAGTTAAACTTAGTTTAAACCTAAAGCAATTATTATGAATAAATGTATTGATTTAGGTAAAAGTAATAGATTCATTTGAAATACATATATTGCTTACATTTTCAGATAAATTTAAAATATTATTTTTCAAACTTGTCCGTTCCTCAACCATTTTCTCAAGTTCCCCTTTCAAAAAATTCCTTCGTGCAGTCAGATCCTTCACTACAGTTCTCCTATGAATAAAAAAATGCATTAACAATGTTTACCAACATAAGTAAATTTGTTATCTATGGCAACTAGTTAATCAAAAGCGGGGATTTAAAGCCATAACGTCTGTTAAATTCTATCGTCTAATTTAACCACAATAATCAGTACATTACCAATACCTATCATAAGATTGAAGACCTGTTTAAAATCAGTGATATTGTAAAATAGCTAGCGTAATAAACAGATTTTAAAATATATATTTTTTGTTTATTTACTGATTCTTCGTAATTTTGGGCATTATTTCATACTAATTTCATTGTACTAATATATATAACAAACCAACTTACTGTTCTTCCTCAGAGATGTTTGGTAATTCATTACCGGATATTTGATCAAAGTTTCGCCGAAATGCCGCGACTACATCATCATCTTTGACCCAAGCAAACTTTCTAAATTTGCCCACTTCCGGAATATGCATAACAGTATTGTCACTTAAAAAAAAACACCAATTTAACACTCTGTTAACTGTACTTCTGTGAACATACTGAATCTTATGAGTTTTGTTTAGTCTCTGTTGGCTGTTCTAAATTGCAAAACACAAAAGTTAAGCGTTAACAATAGAAGACAATTATGATACAACTAAAAAATACAAATCGGTGCTATTTAGTAGTTATTTAGCACTTATATTTGTGGCGAAATGAGCTGGCCTAGAGCTGTCGTGTCAGTAACTTGGAAGGAAACAAAATAAATTTTATCCTTGCACGGTAATGTTAATGTTAATCGCAAAATGATGAAAAAACCAGCTCAAAAGAGCTGGACAGTGTTGTTGGTCACTGATTTAGTGCCATTTGGCTCAATCTGCACAAGAACTACGAAAGTAAATAATTTGTAACCACGCTGAGACCCGTTTTTTTTTATTTTACAATTTGAAACCAGATAAAACGTTGAAATTCAAATGAAAAAGCTGTTTTAGTGGCAAGATGTCTAAAGTAATAATTACTGTTTTAGTCGCTGTAAACATTAATAGATTCTAGAAGTTTTAAAAACACGACGTCACCTGTAAAATACAGATTGAGCACAACCAGTAAAAAAGTTACAAAACGATTACTTTTTTTGTAGTATAGTATTTGTATAGTTTGTTAATCACATTCTGCTTTGCTACTTGTCTATCCTCTCATAGGTTGAAACGTTTCGATAGGTTGCAACTGAAATGCAACTAGGCCGGGACATGTGCAATATGATTTTAGAAACACATATTTGCACAAGCAGCAACCTAATTGCAATTTTCTAATTCGCTAGTAAAATACACTCATTCGAATATACTATTGCGATCGATGCGACTACTGCAGATGTAAATTTTAATGTTGAAAATTTTAAAATATTGGGAATTAGTCTGTTGTGGTATCCAGAAGAAAAAATCTGAGTCACGTACCTACTAAGATTTTTAGATAAGGAAATAAATTCCTTTTAGGTAAAAATCGAGAAAAAATTGGAAATGTTCTGAACGAGAACTTTGCATGCGGCCGTGGCCACTTCTTGTGCACAGTTAATAAGTATCTAATTAAACTATAAGAAACATTATAAAATGTACAAACAATAAATATCATGTTAAGATGAAATAAATAGATTAGTAATGTTCAGATGGGTTGTGACCTTCCTTGCTTGAGAAGATACTAGTCTCCTACTAGACTTAAAAAAAGTAAATATAACTTCCAAAACATTGGTGAAATGTGTTTTTTCTGACTAAAACAGACCTATCCCCAATATGTGAATACTAATTATTATGTGTCCCAAAACTAGAAAAGCATACAAAGTGGGTCAAAATTACGAACATCTAGAAGAGCTAACATATACTTTTATATTTGAATATAATTTTTTCAAAACAATTAATATAAATAGCGCAAATGTTTATGAGTGATATCTATTGCGAAGGTATAATTTATACAAATAGAAGAAATCAAAATACCTGACTGTTAAAAGATCTTTGGTTACACGACGAATGCTGTCTTCCAACTTTTGAGCAATTGATTCGGAACTGTCCATTCCGTTCTAATGTTATGTTAAAAGTAGAAAGAATAAATGCTGAGTAATAAATATATGAGAAATAAAAGTTAGTCAGAACCAAAAATTCGTTGAAAAAACCTTTGTTTACAATTATTGACAGTGACAAGTGACAACTGACTACCCGTTGCGCTGTCAGTGCGCACCGTTGCACATAGAACACACATATCTAATATAACACCAATGGCCACTTCAAACGTTCAGAGCCTCCTGGTGGCTAAAGTTATAACTACAAGTTAAGAAATGACACTTGTTTTGTTGACATAGCTGTCAAATTGGTGTTTAGATTTGAATGTGATTTGCTGTATTTTGTTCTAATGAACTTTTGGTGAATGAACTACAAGGTGTTTTTTTGTCTACCTACGGATGAACCATAAAAAACCAATGATCTCCATACTACCTGGATTCGGGTAATTGTATACAGTTTATTGATAAAAAATGAAGGTGTAATCGAGAGAAAGCAAGCTGCAATTAAACATAAGTTGAACGACTGCGACGTCACCAACTCGGGCGAGGTTTGCCAACCTTACTTTTGCTTTCCCTTGCCCAATAATAAACTCGAGCTTTTGGGTGATTCTTCAAACAGCTAAATTGTTTTGGTTTTACTAAAGTAGTTTTATTTAGTATTTTTGATTTATGAAGGCAAGGTAAAATAAATTTGGAAAATGTTGCGTGCCTCAATGCCGGAACAATCACGACTGGAATGATCTATATTTCTCTTTATTTCCTTCATTCTCCTTATGCACATATACCACTATTTATTATAACATACCTGCTCATAGGAAAGTTACTAAGTTATTATACACAAGTTTTTACCGGGGATGTTTGGCTTCCAAAGTTCAAAATTGTATATGAGACATGACCGTTAATAAAATGCGTTCTTACAGTCTCTATAGTTCCCTCTGCTGCTCACAGCACGAACGACGAGCTCCTTTCTTCCACATTACTACACCGGAAATATAGAGCGTCCATAGAGCTGGCTAGATGTCACCAGAAGGTCTGAATGTATTTTCAAATAATTACAATACTTTATTCTATTGTATTAAAATTAATTTTTAAGACAATGGAATAGTATAAGTATGGAATAGTGATAATAGTGTAGAAAAGTTTATAGTTGTTGTATGGAGATGATAATTTGACTCTGAGTGATCTTAAATCCGGAAAAAAATTGGTGCTAAAGGTTTAATCCAAAATTCTGAAACAATAGTTTTTTTTATCTGTATTCTACTAAATATATTTATAGGCATATTAAAGTTTAAATCATTTATCCTACACCATTCTGACAACGAATCCAAGTCCCTCTGCAAGGGAGTGACTGACAATCATGAAGGTATTCCACCCTTCTATATGTTTTTTAAGATCATCAGCATATAATAAAATTTTGGACATTTGTGCCAATGCAATAATGTCATTAAAATAAATTAAAAACAATAAATGACCTAAATTACTACCCTGAGGTACGACTGATGTACTAAAAAAACCATGAAGATTGAAAATTATTTACACTAACATACAAGTCCCTATCTAACAAATAACTAGCGAGCAGCTTAGCCAAACCATCTGACAGACCATTATGAAGATCGAATATTTAATTATCTATCCCACGATGCAAAAATAATTCTGTGGCTCAAATTGGGCTTGAAAAACTTGCAGTCATGTTTGAGTCGATTTTGCAACTAAAAAAAACATTTACGTATACGGAAGATTTATATAAAATACTAGTTTGCTATACATGTCACAAGACAAACATATTATAACTTCTCAAACTACCAGACCGAATTAAGAGACCAACAACTAAATAATACTGTTAACCGTATTTCATGTCGTTCGGGTTTTACTCATTAGCTTTGGCACGTCGTACAATTCGATTGAGCCTCTGAGCGATTCGTCGACACTTTTTCTGAAGTTTTCTGTAGGCTTTATTTGATGGTAAAGTTTTTCTAAGTTTGGGAAAACTTTGTGGTCGTATTCTTACGCTCATTGCACTAGGACAAGTTTTCAAACTGGATTTCGAGTAAGTTGTCGTTGATATTAGCGAGTTGTTTGTAAGTCTTGGTCGAAAAATTTTATATGACATGGTGGGTATTTATTCCCAAACTTTTAAAGCGAGGATGATTGTTGCAAACGCCGCATTTTGTATGACAAGGTGAGTTTTTACTATAAAGCTTTCAAATAATTTGTTATATTTACAAACGCCTTTTTCTATTTAAGTCCGTCATTATTTGTACAAAGTTGGATCGGCGATGTGACTCAGTTCCATGGTCCGCCCAAATCGTCCAAGTCGCCCACTACTAAACTTCCAGTTGAGCATCTTTTTTTATAGTTTGTTTATGTATGACATTTTAAACAATTATTATGCGTGCAAGTGCTATTGTCCCAACCTAATGCATTTTTTACTGGGAAAATTAATTTATGCCCGTAACGGTTTTAAAGACGTCAGAAGTGTACAGAGAGTCATTACCCGACATTGCTTCTTGTACTCAAATGTCTTCTATTGTAGTGAATCATCCCTAGAAGTTTAATCGCATAGTTCTCAATTACTACGTACAATATCAAGTTAATTTTTAGTTTTCTGGAGGTTACATGTTCGTGGTCCCCAAGGGAACCCCAGGACCCATAAAGACGAATCACCCCTATTTTGAATCACCCTGTATATAGATGGCTGTTTTTTAAAGTCGACTAGTGGAACTGCGAACAAAGAGATCAAATATTAAAAATGACTAAGTAGTTTAATCGTGTTAGTAGCCAGTTCTATGCAGGTGCGCAAATAACTATCATAATATCTATAAGATGATAAACCGAACACGTATTTGCAAAGTGTTTAAATTGCTCCTAGTTTATGAGATTATGAATCTACTTAAAACTGGACACCATTGAAATGTGTGCAAATAGCGGAAAGGACGGGCAACTTTGCAGGATTGTCCGCAAATTGAACTAGCTTAATACCTCGAGTCCAACTTGGATTCAAAATGGCTAATTAAATATCTCGTTACCGCAGCAAACACCTCTAGGGCTCTAATGGACATGCCTCTTTAACAGTTCCGTTTATTTTTATTGTTGATTTAGAATTGTTAGCTTTTAGGGACTGAGTTATTTGCTTTGTAATAAAGATGAGCAATATTGAGTGTGTGAAATTCGTTATTAATGTCAGTTTTACACCTAAAATCATTGAATTTCTTATATCAAATTTAAAAAAAAGATGTGTCCTAACTGTAAGCACCATGTTGGGTGCTCTGCTAGCGTTTGTCTGAGATTCATCCAATATTCATTTATTCATAATTATATAAATAATTAGTTTAAAATTATTTTTTTAAATAAACCATTGCCTTTATTAACACATTCGCTTCGTGCATTTAGTACAGTGAATTCAGTAAAATTCCTATCATTGCTTTCAATACTTTTGGTTATAAAGTCATTGAGCATTCTGTTAGTCAGATTACTATTTACTTAATCTTTTTAAAGGTTGTTCCAATATGTAGCAAATATTTGTCCTCAATCCACTCTAAAAACATTATTCTGACACAAAAGTCGGTAGATTATAAGTTGGTGAGTACATGCAATGAAAGTAAAAACTCTTCAACCTGAACAAATAAGCTGATTAATGACGAATATTGCAAAAGCACAAAATAATATTTATTAGCTTAGCTTCGTACGAATATCTTCGCTCTATACGAGATACATAAGATTAGTTGACAAACTTATTAATTCTCCTCAGAAACTTGAAAATCCGCCCTTAAGAATCTTTTGCAGTATTTTGAGAAGCTAAGCAATGTTAAAATTTAAATTCGATGGATCCGCGACGGACTTCATAACTTTATCTCTCTAGGGACATTCACGTATCTTCAAGCAGATTGGATGATGCGCTAAAACTTATCTGAAAGTTAGATGATTTTAAAACCGGAACTGAAGTTCGAACGTTAAAACAAGTTCAAGCAGCTTAAAGCTATTCTCAGAATATGATGTGTACTTTTGTTTAATCATTTTATGGTTGACAATAAGGTGGTAGTCGTACAGTGTTATTTCTGGTTAATAAACTTAATGAGATGCATATGTTCAAATATTAATTTAAAAATAAATGATGTAACAAAATTGTTCATGTGCTTAGGCTATATGTGAGAGTAAGAGTTTTTAACTCCGTTTTCAAGTATGTCAATATAGTCAATATGATACATTGTAACAATGTAATTATTAGCATGGCCACAGAAGAAACCCATCTTAATTTCCTATGTGAAGACAGATCCAAAATTGTCTATGTAAAATCACCTGTTCCATTAGAAAGTGTCAGACTACTGAGATTGTACACAAAATGTACCTAATTCAATATACATTTTTGAATTTACTAACATTGTTGTCGTATAATGTTTTACTGTATGAATGTAACGTTGAATGATATGTGGAATTTCGGATTCAATGTCCCAATTTTCTGAATCATCAAAATCACCTGGCTTCTTTCTTATTATCAAGTGGCCACCTGTCTTATAGATAAGATTTATACGTTAATTACCTTTTGCCATTGACTGATTTCATATACATGGCACACATCACAAAAAGAGAATCTATTTTCTTTTGAAAAGTTTTATTTAATTTCTGTGTTGGTACAATGAATTATTTCCAGTTTTTGACTGGGATCAGTGTCCTGATGACCGCCGTTTCTGCCACGAAAATGAGTGCTTGTAAGTTTTGCCGATATGCAATTTTGGATATTGTTTTACCAGCTGTTTAATTAATAGCAACAGAATATTATTAATTTTCTATTTATTTTCCAAAGGCACTAACTCCACAGGAATTTATCCTAATGTTACTTATTCCGTTAATTCCTACGTTTGTGAAGCGACGCCTTGCACATGTACTTTGGGCTGTCCATCGCTTATTAGTGTCGATTTCTATGCACGTAAGTTCTTTACGAAATTAAAATTAAATTACATTAATAAAAAAAACACTTGCGACATATTACTAATTAGGACACTCAAACTTTTTGATCTTTTAGCTAGATACTTGGAGAAAATAAAGCCGAAAATACACGCGGCTTGCATGGGCGTAGGATTAGATTATCCATTAGGTCAGGCCGATGCTTGTGCAGGAATCAACAACACTCAATGTCCGATTGTTCAGAATGAGAAAGTCCATTATGAATATTCGCTTAATATTCTACCTATTTTTCCAGAGGTAGGTCAGTTTTCTGAAGCATGCTTAACGTTGCTTTAAATTATGTTTTTCTCTGGAATTACAATAATTTCCAAATGAAAATTTTAAGGGTTTTTGAATAAGATTTTTTTAAACTTTCTTATTTAAAATAAAACTTCATACAATTCGAGCTTTTTAAATTTTTTTAAGAATGAAAATTTTAAAAGTACAGCACTCACGTAACAGAAAAGTATGCTTTAGAAGACCCTTAAAAATGAAAATGACGCAGGAGTCCAAGACAATGAAACCGTTTGTTGCTAGATGGTATATTAATACATTCTCTATACCTATTTTACTTGAAAAAATGTTGTTTACGTATTTGGCTAAGCCATAATTTAGAGACGAAGAACGTAAATGTTGACTCAAAGATGGCAAAATGTTGTGCAAAAAGCTTTCATTTGGAAGATATGTTTTGGAACCAATCAACAGGGGACCAAATCCAATTATTTTCTTTCATTTCACAGTTCCAAGAATTTGCACTCATTTTGGCTTAAACTTGACAAAATTTGAAACTTTTGTATGATTTATAAGGCTTTAAATATTTCTACAGATTTTAAAAACCAGCGGTCAGATTAGCTGGTATAAGTAATGTTGATAAAGTGTGCTGCTTTTTGCATTTTATTCAATAGGGGTTCACATTATTTTTCTGAGCGCTGTTATTAACGGGCTATATATTTTCCTTTGCCCCTTCAGTAGTATAATTGGAGAATATTGTACACATACATTCTTTACATTTTTAAATAGAGTTGATCGATTTATATACTTAATTAAATATGAGGATGCAACAATTTTAAATGACAAATAAACTATATTGTTTTTAATTTTCATTTTGGTTATTCGACACCATTAAAGATCTGGAAACGATAGAAACGAGAAACAGTTGGAAAATCACTTTTTCACATACAATTTAATTTATTAATAAATTTTATTCCGAGCTATTTTATGAAACTTCCGAAACATTAATTTCTCCAATATTAACGATGCTTAATTCATTTTAGGTTACTGTTACACTAACATTTTCTATCATAGACGAAGAGTTAAACGAAGATGTTGTGTGTTTTGAATGGGACATAGAAGTGAAGAGAACCACGTGCCCTGAATAAGAAATGTGTTTAGATTTATTATACGTTACTTCTTTTTAAACCTATTTAATTTAATACCTCTTTCTTTTAGAATTTTAGCTATCGTACACCTTTGTAAGTAATTGCAGGATGGTTGATTTTTCTTGGGAATTCGGTCTGACGAATTCAGACTGAATTCCCATCATCAACTATTCAGAAAAATCAACCATCCTGCAATTAGTGGATATCGGTCAAGAAACTGAACTTATTTGTGAGTAGCGTAATTTCAGTGAACTATAATTGAGAAACTTTAAAACTAATTTAGTTAAATTTTCTCATTAGTTATGAATGGCATAATTATAATGATTCCCGTGACTGTATCGAACATCCCATTGTTTTTTAAATTTGATAAAACCCAAGATAATATTTTAAACGTTTTATTTGAGGGAGCCAGTGGAGAAATGGAGAAAGGTAAGTGATGCCAATTAACCCAGTTTCCTGCTATTCAAAAAAGTAATTTACATAGATTTAATAGCATTTAAAGGACTCACTCAGGTCGCCTGAGCGTAAAGGCACATCCTATTAAGATTGCTGTTATTTGCCAATTACAGAACCTTTTTGTGACAAGACAGACAGATAAAGGCTATAATTTAAATTTGGTTGCTTTCAATATAAGCTTCGATTAGCGAATTTGCTTTAGGAACGATTTGAGAAAGCATGAAAATTAGTTTATCAGTTGAAAATATAGGGTAATTTATGAATTTTGCATGCCGTCCTATTAAGCTTTTATAACACACTCTTGATTGGAAAGAGATCCTATCGACATATTTATGTTGCCAGATAAATTAATTGATACTGTTTACTATTTATAAATGTTGAAAACAACCGACATTTTCTCGAATTCATAGCGTGCACCTCGTTTATTATCGCCTGAGAGTCTGCTAATTTGAAATTCATTTCGATTCAAGCGCATTATTTATTCTAGTCAAAACTTTTGGACGAAAATTTATTTCTAATTATTTTGCCAATCCGCTTCGACTGAGAGCAAAATTGAAAAGTACGGTTGCTATTAACTTAACAGACTGTGAGATCACAAACTTGTTTATCCAAACCCAGAACGATTTATTAGGTGTAAAAAAGTGATGGTATGAAACCGTAACTTTTCATGTACTTAATGCTGAATGTTTAAGTTTTAATTACTTATAGCTATAATGGACTTATTGATATGAATGTCGATTTAATAACGAATAAAAAATTATGTTTATACATCACCCATTGCATTTACCAGTAAATAAATGTTTAATAACTTATTATCTTTAACCCAATTGGTTTTAATTTTCAAAGTTCAACGTGTTTCCTATTGAAAACTTTTTCCTGTCTGATTCTGAAAGAATATACGTTTATTTGTGGACATGTTTTTGTCTGACGTATCATTTTTTCACTACAACACTTTGTTTTGAAGTTATCGGGGTTGCGATATAATTTAATAAATGGTTTTAGTGACAAATGAAGTGTTCTTTGAAGAGGGTAACTATTTTTTGATCATATTTCCCGGCTTGCTGCATTTTTCCTAATAATCTTTCCCGCCGATCAGTAATAAATCTTACTCATCAAAAATAATTTTTCAAAATGTGTAGGAAACCATGTCGGAATAACTAGTGAAAAGCACCGACGAGAAGTTTTATGGCAAAATCTAACCTCCTATCGGGATAACTGTTAAGGACGATAAAAGAAATTAAAAAGCTATTAGTTATTGCCAAAGTTTGGGACAGCCAACCGCATAGAGCATCTGTCAAGCACTCTGGGTATCTGGAATGCCTGATTATGTGTGTAACGATCCTTGAAAATACTTTTTCTCGAACTTTTGTTATGTTCGATATACGCTCTATTTTCGGGATTCCTCGTTAAACAAGATTTTGCTTATGGTGAATTAATGTTTTTAACCATGCATGTTGAGTACGTACATGGTTCACAAATGATAGCGGATGCAGACGTTCATGGAAAAGTGTTTGTTCATTTTTTTTTTGGTATGCATAATAGCAGAACGACATGTTTTATGTGTTTATGACACGCAGATCGAAATTTAAAAATAATGTTTTATACATTCAATATAATTGTACATACTTTCCTGACTGTGTTTCAATTCCAAATCAAAATCAATTCCTGGGCTTCAGTCATTTATTGTCTATTTATCAATTAAAATACGTAAAAAACGAAAAGTATTTTAGTTGATAAATAGACAATAAAGGACTGAAGCCCAGAAATTGATTTTGATTTGGAATTCAATATAATATAACTACATATATGAACAGATTTTAAATATCCGATAAATAGCAGTTTTTCAGCACTTTCAGTATTGAAGCTAACAAAATACAGACAACTGTTCAAATGAGCATAGGCAAAAGTGAGCAGAATATAAGGACATATTAGTATACGCTTGAACGTGTGAACACGCATTTTCATTTTGGAACTAATATAAGTTTTTAAGTTACCAAAAAAATTATATAATTTAATACAATATTTCCTAATGAAGGATTTAATTTTTATAATTGCTCGTCTGATATTGAACTAGCAAATAACATATCACATTTTAGAAAGACGATCTGGAAGGAAATAAATTTATTTTATACATGAACAACATTTTCTGTGAAAGTGTGTCATGATATTTGCACCAATGTTCAGTGTTTAGTAGTAAGAAGGCGCAGAAATTGGTTTTCTGACCGTTTAAAGGGCAAAATTCAAGGGATTGGCAAACTGAAGGTTTAATATCATTATGTTATTTTTTTAAATAATTTTTTTTAGAGCACACTGAAGAACAACTGCCAGACACGGAAATATTAACAACATTAACAATAGGATTCATTCAAACATAACGGTTAAGAAAAACTTGAATATTGGCAGCAATCTTCACTACTCATGTATCTAGCGAGGTCCTAAATTTCTGTCCACTGGTAAAACGATTCAAATTACTTGCAAAAATGTGGAGCATATTGTAAAAGCCATGTATTTTCATTGACTTGAAAAACATTGATGAGTTTGTTTGTGTTATTGCTATAAATTTTTAGACGCTTTCTGTTCTTTTCAGTGATAAAATCGGCCAGTTAATATTAGTTAGGCTATAGTTAGCGCATTTTATACCATAAACACAAGTCGAACGTTTTCCAAACTGAGGTTCACTTAATTTTCGCGCATTCGAATGTAACATATCGGAAATAGTTGTGCAGAATTCTTATTAGGTGATGCACGAATTTCCGAAGAAATTGCTTGATTCTGAGCTGAACGTTCTCAGCTTCAAACCGCCGCGTTTCAGGCTAACTCTATATTTTTCAATGTATTTAGGAGCCGACTTTACCTTGCCTCCATAAAGTGGCTTGGGGGAAGATCCCGATTTCGATCTGTATGCAACTGATAGCAACAGCATTGTCGAAGATGTGTAGATATTATAGTTCCAGTTTTCAGCGAAAGGGCTATTATATATTGCGGGCTATTGCACCTTGGTAATGAAGGGTTAACTAATTTGAAATGCTTAAAGAGGGAGAAATATTTATATTTTAAGCTCTAAGACGTAATTGGGTAAAATCGATTAAAGTATCTCATATTATGAAGAACCTGCTAATATGGAAGTTAACAATAAGCATTTACGTGAACTATTGACTATTAAGCTGCTGTATAAACAATGGCATCATATGCAATATCCAGTGAGATTGGGAATATAAGATTTCTCGTTGGATCGCATAAATTAAAATGTGGGAGCACATTACGTCGTCGGAATTGCCAACAATTAGATGCTATCGGTATTAAGTCATTTTAACGGCTTAATGCTACGAGTAATTGAACCAATATTTGCCAATTCACTAAGATATATCTGAAACTCCAGACTCGATTGGAAATTACCAGTCTGATGTAGATTTAATTCTAAATCGTGTGTGCTTAGTTACTATAATTTAGAGTCTATTGCGTTGCCGATAGTTCCTTACTTACTTTTCCTTATTCCTTCTTAATGGTTAAATTTGCTTTTATTTAGCTGTTAAATATATTAATGGGTGGGTTTTCACGATATAATATGATTAAAAATATTAATCTGCTCATATGTAATATAATACTTCCAGTACGAATTTTATGAAAATTTGGTAATTTTGGAGTTGTTTTTTTGCTCTATTATACTTTGCTTCATTTCAATTTTCCATTCAATATTTACCTTTGGAATTTGAAAGTACGGTGAATTATTTTACTTTGTTTTGTTGTCAAGATGGCAACAGATTACGATAGCAAATACACTTTTTAAGTTAGTTAGTAACTGTAGTAGGTACTGCTGGTGCTCATACCGTTTGTCGATGAATAATTAAGTGGACTGTATTTTTATATTATTTTTTTCGTGCGCGTCCCTATCTGAGATGGCACTCCCAACACCGACTTAAGTATATGAATGCACCCAACCGACGAATTAAAACCCGATTTTCGGCAAAATTAAATGTATATTGCTCAGAACGTTATTTCTACACACCTCTTGTTTGCTTTCTTTTTTTTACCTTAGTTACTAGAAACAAATACAACTTAAAATAAAAAACTAATTGTCACATCGCCCCCTAGACTAACTTATGTGGTTGGCAGGAGAGACAAATAGATCTTATTTACTCATTTCCCAACACCATTCATTTGTTCATATTATCCTGATAAACATAAGGAAACATTAGCTACATCAACACGGAAAATTAACTCAACTTTTGCAAATAAATTACCCGTATTTAGATCAAAGATGCAGGTATGAGAATTGTTCAGACTAGGCGGGATATGGGGATAAAACTGTGTTGGAACCAATCGTTGTAAACACTAACTTTATCTATAAAGTTATGGTCTAAGAAATTACAAAATACATACTTTTCACTACGGATAAACTTGAAATTTTGAAAAATATATCCGAACTTCGCATCGACAAGTCCAACCAATCGCAACTTTAGTTATTATTAAGAAATATTACCAAACATTCTTGCCTTTTAATAAGTAATACTGCCTAATTTAATACATTCGCCGGTCTTCACATTAGTGACTCTTGAACTCCAGCACGAATTTGGATCTGAGAAA